GAGCAGACAACTGTCTCTTTTCTTCTTCCACCCCTTTCTACCCTTTGAGTAGTAACCCCTCTTTCATATAACAAATGTTCAACTACTTGAAGATTTGCACTTCCCCTGGGATGCCCAATCTTTCCTTTCCAGCCTAACCTTCTCTAGTTCCTTCTGACAGCCTTTTTATGACATGATTTCCCATTGGCTCACTTCCTCTGGACAAGTGTCTCTTCTAAAATGGAGTATCCATAACCAAACACGATAATCCAGATGTGATCTAATCAAGGCCAAAAACATGGATACCATTGTCTTCCTGCATCCTACCTCTCTGAATGCAGTATAAAATCACTAGACTCTTGGAGACTACCTTAGCATACTTCTGCTTCATATTGAAGTTGTAATCTACTAACACCCCCAGATCATCTCCACAGGACTGCTGTCCAAACATACCTCTTCAAACAAAATTGTACAGTTGGGTCTTTGAACTAGTGTGAAGTTCCATATTCATCCCATTAAGTGGCATCTTAGAGTCAGATCATCTTAGTTTGCTGAGATTCTTGGGGCTTGTCCAATGTATCAGCTTTTCCTTTCCCAAATCCTGACCTCTGGGAGTTCCCAACCTAATCTAGGAGAGATTATCACATGGCATCAAAGGAAAAAGGATTGGGTTTGGAATCAGTCCTGTTAAAGTGCCCTGCTCTCAGATATTTACTGACCCTTGGGAAAGTCCCTTTCCCTTTCTGAGCCTTGGTTTCCTTTGGGGGACAGGGAGGAATAAAGAAGTAGGACTTGATTATATCAGGTCCCTTTTAGTTCTAAATCATAGGACCTTACAGATGTGTTCACCCCTATGTATCTCAGGGAAAGAATTCTAAAAAGAATTCTGGAAAAAGTTATGTCTCCGATGAAATGACTATCCGAGATTCCAGAGGACTGATGATGAAGCATGTTATCCACTTACTGAAAGAGGGGTGATGAGCTCAAGGTGCAGAATGAGACATACATTTTTGGACATGGCCAATGTGGGAATTTATTTTGATTTATGCATATTTATCACAGAGTTTTTGTTTCTCTTTTCTTTTCCCAATGGGGTTTGCAGGAGAGAGAGAAAATAAAATTTTGTTAGTGGACAAAAGTTAAAATTAAATAAAAGCCTTGTATCTTTCCTGGAGGATAGGGTAGACAGATAATGTGGAATAATTAAGGAAGACTCCAAGGAGAGACTTTGGAAAGAAAGAAAGGAGTTGATAAGAGCATAGACAAAGGTGCAGAGGCAGGAATAAGCTCTGCCTGTTCCAAGGCTTGTGAATATATCAGTTTGTGAAACATAAGAAAAGTAGGGTGACATCAATTTGTGGAGGACCTTGAATTATAAGATTTTAGCTCATGATAAGTATTTAGCACTTGTCCTGTGGCTGTTGTGAAAATCGAAGGTGCCAGTACAGGGGATACTGAAGACATCTTGCCTTAGGAAGATTATGTTAAAAGAATATGAAGAATGGATTTGGGGAGAGGGACAATCCATTCCACTTTAGGGCAACTCTGATTATTACAAAGTCTCATATCTAACCAAAAATCTTCCTTCTCCATAACTCACCATTCTTAAGTCTGCCTCCAAGGCTGTCAACGTCCCTACCAAAATTTGACTCTCAGAACTGGACACAATATTCTAAGTATGCTCTGTCCAAGGTACAGCAAGACTTTCATCTCCCCTGTTCTGAACATTAAGTGTCTATTAATGAAGCCTAAAATGATATTTGCTTTTTTAGTTGCTAGGTTAATACTAATGACTTATACTAACCTTGCAGTCCATTAAAACCCCCAGCTCCTTTTCACTCAAATTGTTACTTAGTTATACTTTCCCATCCTATAGATATAGGATGCCGTCAATTTTTTTTAGATTTTTATAGACATAGATGCAGTCAGTTTTTTTGAACCCAAGTAGTACTTTACATTTAAGCCTATTAATTTTATGCTATCTGAAACACCATTACCTCAGAAGAATCACAATTGCAGGTTACCCAAAGAGCAGTGAAGAGAGCCATGAAGGATATGAGCAGGGGTAGCATGTTAATAATAGCATTCTATCCACTGCACCACCTGGCTGCCCTAATAATGATGACTTGTGTGCAAAATGTGACAAAAGAGACCCCAAGAACATGTATAACCAGACAAGGAGGTGAGCTAAACATGCAGCAAGAGTTAGATCTAGCAGATAACTAGCCCAAGTGCTCCCCTGGAATCTTAAAGATATTAAAATTAGCAAAGGTAAGTGTCCAGTGCAATGGATGGATCTTCAATGGAAAATCTGAATTAAAAAAAAATAGACCAATATGGCACAAGATGAAAAGCTGTGGATGTAACATGTTCCAGAGAAAGAAGTACCCATGTCAGCAAGAACACAAACCCATTTTTGATTTTGTCTCTATGGCCCACTCTCTAGGTAAGAACTGATCACAATACTTCTATCCCTTGGTAGATGGTCTTCATTAATTGCTATGGCCAAAATTCAGTGCCAAATGGATAACCTGCTAAGCCTCTCATAAATGAACAAGATGTTCCTTAGAGAAGAGACATGCATTCCACTGTCTGTGTCATATTCCTTTTCAGCTTAGTAGGGCCTTCTTGTGTTTGTGCTTGTCTGACACAGCCTTCAAGAAACCAAGGTCACCTCCATACCCCAAAGAAGCATTGAAAGAGGACCACAGCAAAAGATCCATCCAAGATTCCAAATATAAATTGATCTAATTATATTTGGTCCATTATTCTAGCCTACTGAGGTCTTCTTGGACCCCAGTTTTGCCATCCTTTACGTCTATGCAGTTTTTGGCATAGTTGACCATTCCCTCCTCCTAGATATTCTCTTTCCTTGGCTTCAGAGAAACTAAACTCCCTTACTACTTCTTCCTCTCTAACCACTCTCTGTCACCATTGCCTTTCATCCTCTTCCTGACCTCTATTATGAGTGTTCTCCAAGGTCTGTCTTTAGCCCTCTTCTCTTTCCAGTCAGTGCTATCTACCTAGGCAATCTCATTCTCCTCCTCCCCATACCCCACCCAGGCACAGATATGTATTGAAAACTGTGACCTCCTTCTGAGATCTAGTTTATCACCTTTAGCTACTTGTAAGTCATGTCTATCTAGATGTCCCCCAGTCATCTTTAAGTCATCATATTCTAAACCAAGTTTATTATCTTTTCCCCAAACCAACTTACCCTTCTGACCTCACTATTTCTATCTAAAATGTCACTATTCAACCTCTTTTTTATGGCAAACAGGGCCTCTGGTCAACCAACCAAGAAACATTTAAGAAACACCCCCTATTTGCCAGATTTGAGGGATATAGATAATAATAGCTAATATTTATATACCACTTAACTATGTGCCAAGCACTGTACTAAGCATGTTGTCATTCTCACCTCATTTGATCCTCATAACAACCCTGAGAGGTAAGTGCTATTATAATCTCCATTTTACAGATGAGGAAATTGAGGCAATTAGGTTAAGTGAGTTGCTCAGCATCACACAGTAAATGTCTGAGGATGGATTTTAACTCAGATCTTCCTCATTCAAGGCCCCCACCCTATCCACTGCGCCTCCTCGCTTTAAAAGTAAAGCAGTTTCTGTCCTCAATAAGCTTACATTATACTGTTCAACCTACTTTTCCAACTCTACCTCTCAACTCATTTTGCATTTTGTCCAGACTAGTCTAACTGTCTGTCTGCTAAATGCATCATATGACCTTCTACTTCTGTCTCTTTGTTCACTCCTTCCCCACCCCAACCCTAAACACAGAAGGCCCTTCCTTTCCTTCTTCACCTTTTGTATTTCTCCCTATCCTTTACAGATCTTTCCAAATGCCCCTTTCATTTAGGCTTCCTTAAATCACTGTTGGTAACAGTAATTTCCCTCAGGCTCACAGAGACCTTTGATTTCTACCTCTCTAATGCATAAATTCCCTGTCCTTTGTTATCAGTATCTATTTTTGTATCTTATTCCCCTACTAATGAGTTCCAAGAGGTACAGGAGCCTGTTTTATCTAAACTATCTAAACTAAACCCAGCATCTATCATGGTACCCAGTACTTTGCCCATAGTAAGCTCTTAATGTTCATTGAAGTGTACATGTAATATATGTTTGGTGACTAAATCCAACATATTAACCACCCTTGTCTTCCTCAAAGCAAGCCATCTTGACAAAAGGGGTTTCAATTAAATACTTCTTCAATGAAGAAATGCTTGAGAGTTGCTCTTTGGAACCAATTACAGATACCCTGACCAGACACTGACTTCAAGTTGAGCCTTGGCCCTGGCCATGACCCTTAACCTAGACTGAGGTGAACCTTGGTGCCAGACTAAATGTTGAGCCTGGTCTGACAGACTAGCCCCCACCCCCAACCCTAATCACAGACTAAGACCTATCCTCAGGCTGAACTCTCCCTAACCTTTGGATCACTGGTCATGAGGAATATGAGATGAGAAAATATGGGATGCTCAAAATCCTCCATCATTTTGCCCTTCAGGAGGCAACCTAGAGTTCCCTCTCAGCTGGGGGAGGATGAAGATGTCAGTAACGTTTCCAGGGTATTGTGCTGAGACACAATATTATGGAGCACTGTATTGGAGGATCAGCTGGTTGAAGGTTCGCTTATGCTCCTAATAAGCTGTATCCCCTGGATCAAAAGTGCATTTCATCAGGGTCGGGCACATAGTTATCGAGGGGTTGCTTAGGTCTAATTCACTGCTTGTGGGCATCAGAACATCCAAATTCAGATCTATGAAAATGGGGCTCCAGGGGCCCTTCAAACTTTTCCCAGGAAAAGTTTGGCAGCTCCGTGTCAAAGTTTTTCCCTCTTGTCCTCTCTATCTTAAGGAGCCGCGGGGCTCAGGGATGAAGATTTCGCTTTAAGGGAGGGTCTCTCAGTCAGTGTCCGCTTTGGGGCCCCTCCCCCGTCCTCCCGCCCTCCAAGGGATAAGGCCCGGACCCCGGGCGGAGCGCCAGCGCATGCGCCTACAGGTCTGCGCTGCCGGTGGCTGCGAGGCGCGGACCGGGCGCAGACTGAGTAGGGGACGCTGGGACAGCGACATGGCCGGACAGACGCAGCAGCCGAGCGGGGGCGGGGACGGGGGCCCCAGTCCGAGCCCAAGCCCGCCCGCGGACAACTTGGCCGCGGCCCCAGGCCGGGTAGAAGAGAGGGTGGCACTGAAGAAGGAGATTGGGCTAGTGAGCGCCTGTGCCATCATCATTGGTGAGCAGTGACTGGTACCCTGGGCTGGGACAGAGGGAGAGGGGAGGAGAGAGGCTGTCGGGATCATACTAGGAACCCGAGTACAGGGCAAGCTGGCTGCACTGGGCACTCTGGGAGCAGCGCGGCCCCCAGCAAGTTGAGCAAAGTTGGCTGCCGTCAGACCTGCTGGAGTGCCAGCTGCTCTGGGGTTCGCTCCCTCGGCACGCAGCGCCCCCGCCCGGCTTGGCCCGCGCCTGGGACACCCTGCCTTGAAGGGACGAGACTGGCTGGGATGGGACTGGTCCCGAGAGGTCAGGGACACGTGCCTCACCGCACCCCACCTCACTCCCCTCAATAAACACCTCCAGGCACCAGGAGTTTCCCAACCACCCACCCTGGGACCATGGCTGGGATGCAGAGCCCTCGGCATAGCGCGGGCCGGCGATGTCCCCATCTGCCCTCGTGGTCCCAAGAGAGGAGACTAGGAGCAGCTGCAGCAGATGAAATACTAAGTCTCAGGGCTACGTCCCTCCCTGTCCTGGCCACAGTTCTCCGAGTCCGAAAACAGTTTCCCAGTCGTGGGTGCCCCGGCTCCCGATGTATGGAATCAAGCTCTGCCAGTTCCCACCTCCCTAGACTGAACACAGCGCGCGCGTTCCCCCCTACCCCCTACCCCAGCTGTCAGTCTCTTATGCCCCAATACCCAGTCTTGTCAGACCCAGAATAGTGATCTTCCTCTTCCGGGACACCTCCTCCTCCCCAATCACAAGGGACCAAGCTCCCCTCATCGAGCCAAAATGACTTTTTTCTTAAGCGCCTAGGTTAGTGCGCAAAGTTCCTCTTGCAAAGCTAGTCGTTCCTCTCTAGAAGCTGGGCGCCAGAAGACGGGAGGACCTCGTGCTACTTTGGGAGCCGAGAGGCTAGAGGAGAATGTCCAGGCTTTGGAAGAAGGACTAGTAGCTGCAGAGAATGTCCCAAAGGGGAAGATTTTTGAGGGGAGAAGTCTTGAGGTCAGGTCTAGGGTGGGGTGATGCTATCGCACCAGAATCTCCTGGAAGCAGAGAATCTAGCAAAAAATAGAGTAGCAAGAAGAGGCTATTGTTGCGAAGAACTTTTGCAGTGGGAACTTTTATAGGAAAGGGGAAAAAATTTTACCAAAAAACTTTAGAGGGGGAAGAGAGAATATTGTAGCAATGAACGAAGAAGGAAAGGGAGATGTAGCCAAGTGCTTCGGAAGAGAGCTGAAAACATTGTTGCGGTAGAAGGGGAAAGGAGAAGAGTTGTGGACGATGAGGCTGCGTGTTTAGTTTTCAGAGCGGCTGAGTGAGATCGAAGCCTCCCCCTAACAGGGACTCAGCACCTGGACCTACCTTTATTTCCCCCCAGACTGAGTGGTTGGTTACTTGGGAGAGGGAGGCAATCAAGAGGCTATGGGAGAAGCAGCTGGAATTTATTGCAAAGAGCCCTTAGGGCTCCAGCTCTGCTACTAACTTGCTGAATGACTTTCAAATCATTTCTCCTTGTGAACCTCAGTTTCTTCCTCTATAAAGTGGAGATAACAATATCTGTTGGGGAAGGGGGTCTAATTCAAAGACTGTTGTGAGGATTAAGTGGGATTGTGGCTGAGAAAGTGCTTCTAGAAGTAGCAAGTCCTGGGGTGGCCAGTACTATTAGGAAGGAGTTTGGTCTTAAAGGAGGGAATGAATGAAGCACACAAATGAGGAAGGTATTTGACCTTGAAGATTCAGAGGGCAGCCTGCGGGGTGGAGAGGTAGAGCCATCTAGAGGGGGCAGGTAGACCGAGAGAGGTTAAGAATAATTCCTGGTTCTAATCTTAGCACCATCTTTGATTGAGTGTGACCTTAGGCAGGCAGTCAGCAGCTCTGTTCCTCAGTTTCTCCACCTGTAAAATAGATTTTCAATCTCTGTGCCTTACTAGATATTTCAATAGAATCAAGAGGTACTTACTAACATCTAATATATTCCTGGGTTTTGTGGGTTTCTCTCTCTCTCTCTCTCTCTCTCTCTCTCTCTCTCTCTTCTCTCTCTCTCTCTCTCCTCTCTGTTCCTCTCCCTCTCTCTGTCTCCCTCCTCCCTTCTCCCTCCTTCCCCCCCCATATATATTTCTCAAGATGCTCCACTGGGAAAACAAGACTGTCATACTCGGAGTCCTCTAGCTGGAAGGGACCATAGAAGACATCTACTCTCTTAGTGCTGATCTCTATTTGAATACTGACAGTGATGGGAAACTCAGTACCTATCAAGGCAACCCTATTCCGTTGATGCACAGGCTAAATATTAGGAAGTTCTGAAGCAAGACTTAATCATGTAAGACAATATGTAACTAGTGCCTAATGAACAGTACAAGTTCTATGTTCTCTAGGAGGTGAAAGAATAGAGAGCTCAATATGACTGTAATGGTCATAGAAAGCTTCCAGGAGGAGGTAAGAGCAGGATCAAATACATGGATCCAGTTGGGCCATATCTAACTCCAGGCTCTGGGGCAGAATATCGATAAGATCACAAGAGAATATTGTAAAGATTATCTGGTTCACCTCCATTGTAGAGATAAGCAAATGGAGGCCCAGGTGGGTTAAGTAATTCACTCAGGATTTCACAGGTAGGATGTACAGAAGTAAAACAAGATTTGTCTTTCCATTATACCATACTGCCTCCATTCAGGGCATCAAATCACTGCTGTTTCCTTCCCCTCCCCAGATGGAGAGCTAGCTATAACTGTCTTCAGGATGGTCAATGGGAACTACTATGGAAACATGAGGTCAAGGAGGAGAGAAAAGATGAGTACTAAGGAGAGGGCAGTATATTTATGAGTCTCTGCTTCCTGGTGTGGGTAAGATCAGTATTGTGGGACGGGGGGGGGGGTGTATATATGGACTGGAAGAGGGAAGCAAAGGGAATTCATGGAACTTTGCCAGGGATGTGTGTGCCAATCTTTTCCATAGTCCAGGATCCTTAAGAACTTACTCTATATCCTAATTTCATCTAGATTGTAGGAAAAAGGAGACACATTCCTAAATATAGTATTAGGTGTAAATACTAACAGCACAACTGATGATGTCTAAGCCCAGGAGGGCCTTAACTTATCCCTACACTTCAATCTCAGCCTCTCAAACTGTACTTGTGCATACACACACACACACAGAGTGATGGATCTCTACCTCCAGCCCCACCCTCTGTTCTGTGAAGCCTCAGCGGAGGAAGCATTGGGCAGATGGCAGGAAGAGGGATTTAATAAGACTAGTCAGTTGTCTTGACCTGCTGTTTCTCAGAACACATCCCATGAGACCTCCCAAATTCTCATCCTAAGCCAGGAATTCTTTGAGCACTTCTCAGCTTCCTCCCTCTGTTTGTACAGTTCTTCTCAAGGCTCCAATTGACTATATTATCTTGAGTCTCTGGTTTGCTTCCCTGATAGTCCACGTTTTGTGCTGGTCTTGGAGGGTGAGGAGAGACACAAAATAATCTTGTATCTTCTTCATGGGCCTCACTGTGTCCCCATGGTTTATCTAGATGCTGCATCACAGCTGAGTTGGGAGCCCCATATTCCATAAAGTGCCTGCAAATATTCTTTACTAGTGTAGGTGGGGCCGAGAGCCTCCTGGGGGGAACAACTGAAAGCACCTTAAAACTGGTGTATTACAATAATAGGGATAGGGAGTAGACATAAGATACCCCTGGTATAGGGAACTCCTAGGCAAAGAAATTCCTTCTGCCAAAGCAAGAACATAGTGATCTTTTCTGGGACCTATAGTCTTAGAGAGCTGCCTAGAGTGCTGAGAGGTGAAGTCACTTGCCCAGGCTCACACATCCAAAATGTCTGGGGCAGGATTTGAAGCAAGGTCTTCTAGGCTTACAGGGTAGCTCTCTATTCACTATGCCATACTGGCTTTCTTTCTTTTTCTCTTTTTTTTGGGGGGGGTGAAGCAATAAGGGTTAAGTGACTTGCCCAGGGTCACACAGCTAGTGTTATATGTCTGAGGCCGGATTTGAACTCAGGTCCTCCTGACTTCAGGGCTGGTGCTCCATACTGGCTTTCGTTGATGATGATGATGATGATGATGATAGTAATAATAATAATTAGGCATGAAGGAGTTTATGATAATAATTCAAGACTAGGTCATTGATACCAGAAATTACAGAAGGGTTATCATTATAATATGGTACATACATCCTAATAGTAGGTGCTTAATAAATGCTTATTGATTTGAAGGAGCCCAGACTTATTGATTAATTTAAATCATGCAAGGAAATGGAAGAAATTGAGCAACATAATGTTGCAGGTTGTAAAAATATAGCACCTACTGAATGCCTAGTAAGACACAACCTGGTAGCCAGAATACATCAGAACCTCACTATCATCCATAACCTAATAGACAACAAATCTTCGTACTGTGCTACAGACCTCAAAATGACCTTAATAATTCAGCAAATAAATTATACTGGAACCATAGCATTATCTCAGACAAGACACCTAGACCTAACATTGAATCATAAACATTTAAGAACAATGTGTTTAATTAATGTCACCATTCCAAGTACTCCTTATCTCCAAGCTGTACAGAAAGGCGTTCAAAATGTAATAGCCTATTGGAAGAAATGAAAATCATGTGAGACTTGGCTCAAGTACATATTATTCCTGTAATTCAGTCTGCTACTAAAGTTGTACTACAGATGCTTTTTGATCCTGCAGAAGATGAGCTTATATCCCAATACTTAAATTATGAAAAGCAGTCATATTATCCATCTCTGTGAAAGTCATCAGAACATTCAACATATAGAAATAATAGCAGGGTAGCGACCTGTCTTAAAACTGTTTCTATCTGAACAAAGATGAAAATGAGATAATAATAATAATAATAATAATAATGATAATTCACATTTTCGTAGTGTTTTAAGGTTCACAAACTGCTTTCCTCATACCAATCTTGTCAAGTATGTCACATTTATTTCGTACCTACTGGTGGCATGGCCCTGTACCTGGTGCTCTGAAAGAGACAGAT